AGTTCAACTCTTCTGAAATTTACTCTATGGTACTCAGTCCATCTTCCCTCAAATTTTTGTGGCAATTGATGCTGTAGTGGGCGCGTTCTTGTGCTTGGTCGCTTTGGCGGGTGCACAGCAGGGTGGTTGCGCCGCGTAGATACGAGTCTCACATTTTTTTAGGGGAGGGGCTGCGTGTTGCGCCGACAAGTTTGAAGCCTACAGTGGACGGAATTTGCCAAATCTTGGTTCCCCAGATAGCTACTGGCATAGTCTACTGCTGTAAGCCTTTAGCCTTCGGTGGATGTACGCCAGTCGCGCTGCTAATCTGTGTAAAACGATATTTTTTGTTCCTCCGCTTACTTTTTTTTTTTCTGTAGTGCAGCACTGTTACTGTTCTCAAATTGATGTCCATGTGTGTGTGTTGTTGTTGTTGTTGTCTTCACATTAGTGTGTGTGTTTTTATTATTAGCATCGACCGCGCTAACCGGCTGACCAATGAAAACAATGAAAAAACGTCAGCCCACTCGGGGTCTAGTATTCTTTCTGATGACCCAGATGCGATTGATTGTCATTAACGGCGATCGCAGCCACAACAACGACCCATACAGCCTCTGTCACACGCCAAGGGTCACACGACGAAGGGGCGTTTGCGGAGAGATCTCTACGGGCTCAGTGGGTAAGTGGGGATCATGTTTTTGTGTCTGTTCTTGTGTGATGGTTATCTTTGTTGCCACGAAACAAAAATGACGTGGACCTGGTAGCAGGAAACAAGAATAGCAACTCACTCAGCTGGCCTCAACCACCAACCACCACCGGTACTGTATACCCTTTGACGAGCCAAGGGGTCACACGACCAAGGGATCGCATGCAGAGAGACTTCTAGAAGGGCTCTGTGGGAACGGGACCATGTTGTTCATAGCCCGTGGTTGTTCGCGAAGAGCGCCGACAGCCACTGCAAGCAGCAGTGTTCGTGTCGTATCTCATACAGACGATGCAGCCTGAACTTAGACCAAACAACGTAGCTCCGTACATGCTACCTCCCGTCTTCAATCCACCAACGCGTTCGATTGCCATGTGGGTTGTGCCCCCTCGATGGCTCTATTCGCTTGGACGAGCGACGGACGCGGGTTGTTCAAGATGTTCATGCGCATGATGAATAATAGGGTGTTTGCGGACTGGTGCTGGGATTTCATCTTCGAAGTTGCCAGAAAGTTCGAGACGAGATAAACATTTGATTTCGATTTTTTTTATCCACCCGAGCGCCGAAGACCGCGGGATCTTTAGGAATTTGATCTTTCGCTTTTAGGAATTACCGCAGAAAAGATCAAATTCCATCCTTGCTTGCATCTATCTTTTTGGGAACAGTTTCTGGTTGGCCTATACTCCCCGAGATACTCCCGACGTTGTCCGGACACATGCCGCACCAGCCCGTGAAGCTATGCACCCACACCTCGACCGTGATACACACTCTACCATGGCGAGCCAGCTACAAGTTAGCCCTGGGCCTGACCCCCCTTTTTGGTGTATGCGCGTGGTCGGGCTGTTGGTCGAAAAACCACGAAAATGAAGTTTTTCCGCTTTTTAGGTCGCTGGCGCCAAATCTGGTGTTGACTTGATATTAGACAGCGAGAGGAGAATGCGGAATGCTCGATGCCACAAACGAACTGGCTCTTGCGCTTCAGTACACACCTGTTGTTGTTGTTGTTGTTGTCTTCACATTAAACCGTATGTCAGTTGCCAAATGCCAAAATCTAGCAAAAGACTCTCAGCCCGTGGTCACGAAAGTGCTAGAGCCATCTGAGGATCTAAAGAACACGCACACATATGACGAGA